ATAATTCTTCCTCAGCTTTCTTTGGATGAGTGGTTTGCAGTTAGCATCTCCTGTTTTGTACTGGCTAATGCTGTCTCTCAGGTGGTTAAGACCTGGATAGGATGTTGTTGCTATTGCTGAATTACTTCCTTTTGCTTATATCCTGGTATAGAAAGAGGAGACCCCTTTTCATGGGGATTCAATGAGTTAGGGAATATATGTTGACGTTTTTCAAGACAGTTTTCCTAGGCTGCTAAGTCCTGTTCTTTAAGACAAACCAATGCTCATTTGCCTACCTTGCTTTTGCCAGTACCAAAGAGCAAGATAAAATAATAGGTCAAATGTTCTTTATTCCATAACGACAATCAAATGCTCCATCATCTAAGATCATCCTACTTGTTTGGAAAGTGCCTTTCTTCTGTACTTAGAACAGAAGTACAGGTTTAACCTGATCTGAGCATATGCTGAAAGCTGGTCATCTTTTAGTTGTGACCAGTGCTCACTGAGTTCTTAGTTTGATTTTGAAATACTTCAAGACTATGAAAAATGGCAGGAAGAAAAGAGAAGGAGCTGTTATTTTTATCCATCCTTTCTTCCTGTGCAATGTTTGTGTTCCCAGACTGTCAACAGTGTGCAGTGCACTCACAGTTTCAGGAAGCCTTTCATTAAGATTTTCTCTTTAGACATTGACCCCTATGTAAGGACGACTTGTATGGTTCTTCTGAAAAAAACCTGTTAACTTAAGTCGGATTAGTGCAGTGTTTCTTAATCTACTAGTAGCAGCTTGGTTATGTACCACTTAAACTTTTTTTTTTCCCTAGGTTTGTTTGTCAAAGAAGAAAGACTCTTGCTCCATGAAGATTTTCTGGGTGACTGTAATAGCTTTGGTTGCTATTATGACACTATGGTAACAGTTAATTATCAACAAGTTGACTTGTTTATCCCTTCCCTTTTCTAGTTATCTCATCAGAAAGAAGATTGCAATTTTTTTCTTCTTCTCACCCTTCCTACTTAAAGAACACAATGTATTAAAAGTAACAGTGACTATGCCTGGTAATATTGTAAAAGTGTAATCATTTTAGAAAAGTGAGATACTGATGTGGTACCTGCACAGCTAATCTCTGTCTATGTCACAATGTGTGGTGCACCTTGAATGTGTCTTGGTGGCTTATGCTGCAGGTCCAAAGCTGAACTTATGAGATGGCAAGTTTTATGCAATCATTCTGTGCCTAAGTACAATTTCTGATGTACAGAGTGATTCTGTTGTGTGAAATGGAGCTGGACTCATTCCCAATATGGTGGGCAGTCTTGTGACTCTGAAAGTTTAACTTGTGATATTGGACTTGTGGAAAGCAAAGTACGCTCCACACTTCTGAAATTGTTATTCTCTGTTTCCAGTCCCAAAAAACGTGGCTTACAATCTCTCTGTGAACTGACTACTCTGAACTGGCATTGTGATTCTGTTTACCACGGAAAACTGATGATACTTTGTGTTGAATTTAGCTGTATACAAGTATGGGACCTAAACCATTACATTCAGTCAAGATTTTTCCCCCTAAAGGGGTAGTGATCAGATAGTTAACTTGTATGTTACTATAAGGTGCTGTCAAGGTATTATTCATATCATGTTACATAAAAGATAGATGTAAATCTACAGAATAATTCTCTTCCTACAGTGCTTTGACAATATGGACCCTATATTTACTTAGCATTCATGACAGACGTTTTGAAAAACATCCGATTTACAGGCAAGTAGTTGAATTAGTGTTAGTAAATTAGAATTAGTAATAGATTGTGGACCGATCTGTTTTGGTCCACGACTCTGATGTTCATTTCTTAATGAATTGTTTTTCTTTTTCTTCATTAGCAGTACCTCAAGTTCTGTTGTACTCTCTCCTACCACTACAGCAGGTACTGTATTTCTGCTGGTCTGCATACATGTAACAGGCTTTCAATTTCTCTGCTATTACAAAATGCCAACAGACACACAGCACTAGTGAGAATTATGTCTTTTTTTTTTTTTTTCTTTTTTCCTTTAGCATTGCCGGGGGAAAGCACAATTTCTCAGAGCACACAACCTATCAGCAAGATCCCTGAAGTGAATTTTTGTGACATTTTGCCTTGTGACAAGGTCTATTGCTGTCCAATTCATCAACCAAAAGTCAAATCTCTAAGTTATGAGGAAACCAATGCAAAGGAGAAACGTAAGTTGCCATTTGAATAAAGACTATATGAAGAGTGTAGGGGAAGGGACAAGAATCTTTAAAGGTAGTGAGCTTCCTACAAAAGTGCCTAGTCCAGAGGATTTCAAAACTCTTGATGTAACTAATCATCACTGCAGTCAATACGTTTTTGAAAAATCTAGCCTGGTTACCTTTAAGAGTTCTGGGCCCTAAGATGTTTTGTCAGGTGTCACTCTTCTTCCTGACCATTCATGGTAAATGATTTTATATGAACCAGAAAGTCACTAATCCCTTTAATTAACCTTTGGCTACAGTTGGCCAGGAGTTGACTGAGGGTAGTGGAGGGTGAATTAGCATTTATAAAAAAAAAAAACAAATCACTTAATGGTGTCACAGTGTGGTGATACTGCAACTTTTCTGTGGACAGAGATAGAAATTTAACTGCCAGAAAACACAAAACTTAGAATTAAAACTCTGCTTATTCAGACAGGGCTTTTGAGTAGAGAAATGTTATTTGAAGGCATAGCTCTAAGATATAAATTTCTTTTACTGGAATGAATTCTTCTTCAATATTGTCTGCCAGATGCTACATGTGTAATATATGAGTCTATGTATTGTTTACAACTTTGATAATTTTTATAAGAAAGAGTTTATACATAAAGGTATGTACAAGTTGTTGGAATCTGTATTCCTTTTTCCCAGAATCTAACTTTGTCAATGTCTAGAAGCAAGTGCTAGTATTACTAAACCCAGCGTTCATACTCTTCCTTTCTTGGCCTTGGGAACAATTCTCGCCCCAACCACAGTTGACAAGTTGAGGTGAAACTGGAGACACATGCAGTTCAGTGTCTGATGTACAAAAGTCTGCCAGGGCAGTCATTGCCAATTGCTGTGATACTCTTACCACATGAACTGTTCCAGTGGGATTCACCCACTGACCATTCTTTATACTGCAATGTGCTGTCATCTGCAGACAAGCTGGGTGGAAGTGGTCATTGTGGTTCTTGTGATTAGTGCTGCAGGAGGCCCTGTGGCAGATGTAGCTCAATATAGTGCTTTCAAGAGGTCATACCTTAGTGATTTGTATTGCTCTGAAGCCTGAAAATGTGTTGGTTAATTAAAAAGACATTAATTTCATTTACAAATGAGGGAACTGTAGATGGATGAAAATGAAATACGAAAACCTTCTATCCCCAGTTGGCTGCTTTTGATATTAAGTGAAAAGAGAAAATAAGAATAAACACAAAGCATTGCCTTCTCAAGGTCTTATGCTCCAAATAGCATTAAAGGTGGATCCAAGAGTGAAAAATAAGCACAGTACACAAGCTACTGAAAGGTTTCAGTTTAATGAAGCTGAATATATCCCCAGACGGAAGGTAACTATGTCAATATGAGATTCAAACAGAAGGAAAACGAACAAGCTGCTTAATGTGGCTGTAGCCAAGATAAATGAAAAGGAAAATGTTTTCAGAACAAAAAGCAAGGTTTAAATACGGGGAATAATCAAGATAACCAGTGGATATTTTAGAATCAGCTGATTAATTTGATTCATGGGAAGATAAAACTATTTGAAATTACAATTGAATTAAATGCTGATTTAGGAGTTCATATGGAGCGTGTTCAGAGGAGGGCCACAAAGATGACCAGGGGCTGGAGCACCTCTGCTACGAGGACAGGTTGCGGGAGCTGGGATTGTTCAGCCTTGAAAAGAGAAGACTTCAGGGGGACCTAATAGCTGCCTTCCAATACCTGAAGGGAACTTACAGGAAGGCTGGGGAGGGACTTTTTACAAGAGTGTCCACTGATAGGACAAGGGGAAATGGGTTTATGTTGAAGGAGAACAGATTTAGATTAGATCTTAGGAAGAAATTCTTCAGCACAAAGGTGGTAAGACTTTGGAATAAATTGCCCAGAGAAGTTGTGGATGCCCCCTCTCTGGAGGTGTTCAAGGCCAGGTTGGACGGTGCCTTGAGTAGCCTGGTCTAGTTGAGAGGCGTCCCTGCCCATGACAGGGAGGTTCGATTAGATGATCTCTGAGGTCCCTTCCAGCCTATGCCATTCTATGATTCTGTGATATTTGAACAGACCTTTTACTGTTCTACCATGCGATACCTGAATTCTGTGGGTGCAGGCTACTTCTGAGTCCATTCAGTGTAGATCCTAATCTCTTGCATCTCAGATTTGTTGAGGAGAAGGCTGTTAGGAGTGTTGAAATAGAAACAAAGCATTCATAAGCAAGATAAAATTTATTAAACAAAAATTCAGCACATCTTTATGTAGTCTAGCTCAATGTAGCCTTTTTCCTTGTACTTTATTTTAAGAACCAGTTTCTCTGAAGGATTTAGACTTTCAAACTCCTGTTGATTTCGGTGGAAAGGAGGAGCATGAATACCCTTCAGCATCAGGGCCTTTTCTGCTCTCTGCTTTCAAGCCATTGCTTGCCCCTTTGTGTTAAGTGTCACTGGTAACCAGGGACTGTCTGTACTTTCTCTCAGAGTGTTGTTTCTCCCTGGTGTCTCTCCCCTCACGATAAAAGCTTGGTGAGGACTCCTGCTGGATTTTGGTCAACTTGATGTATTTACATTTATTGTCTCTGGATGGTAGTTAATAGATTCATAGCAAGGTACCACCACAAGAAATCATCAGCAGATTTTTTCCATCCTCCTTATAAAATATTGCAACTCATGTGATAGGATGTCACAACTCATGTGAATTAAAACCGGAAAGTGCTTGAGGAAAAAAAAAAGGATACCAAATGTATTGGATGAGTTTATCCGAATCTTATCTGAAGATGATTATCATCCTCATTACATTCTGGTCATGCTCGTACTTTTATGTTTGTTATTGAATTGGATCTTTGCACCCCACACGGGCCTTTGAGAAAGCCCTCTGAGTTACTGTATGTGACAGAGTGGAAGTTTACCACAACCTTATTGAAGGTTGCTACAGTGGTTTTTGGTGGTTCCTGGTGTTCTCAATTGGCAACTTGATCTCCGAATAAAAATAACTTTAGGGTCCAGTTTTCTACATTTCATTTGGATTGCGTCAGCTTAAAGGACAATGAAATAGTAATTTTATGAAGAATAAAATATCAAGTAAAAATAATTTTCTATACTGGTTACTGACTCAATTTAAATAGTTGAAATCTTAGTGAAGTAAATCTGTCTTCATCCTAGTTTTTATACAAATTTCTAGTACTCACTGCTTTCATCTGTCATCTGTTAAAGAATCACAGTATTAAATGTTTAGTAATTTGGAGTATGTAATAAATATTCCTGCCAACACTTACACAGCTAAGTATTGTATCTACAGTGAGAACATCTTTCTTTCAGTGAGCAGTCTTTTACCTTTAGCAGGGGATATAGTTTTTCCTACAGAATAGTTCTCTGTTAATGAAAATGTAAAAGGGCAGGGAACGTTTAATGCGTTGCTGACATACCTAGACTATTAAGAGAAAACAGCAGAAAGTGAAAGGAAGATGTGACAACTAGTTTATAAATTAGAAGGAAGAATGAGAAAATGAATAGGTCTTTTTTAGATCTCTCTCAGGACTTACTGTACATGTATAGCTGATTGTGTTCAGTAGCCATTTTTCTAGGTGTGTGGTGGCAGATCACAGTGTAAAGAAATGGGACAGCAGGTGACTACTAAATGCAACAGTTACTACCTCAGTTGGCAGAGCTGTCAGATGTGTATGATTATCAAGTAAATAGAATATGGATTCAAGGAATAACTGGCAGCAGTATCACAGATTCATAACAAAACACAACAATGATGAAAATCCCAGAGGTGATTTTGTATTACCTTGCTTCTGAGTCCTCACATTCCAGTTGTTAATGTTCCATGCTGTCAGTCACCTACTAGCATGAGGAAAGTCTGAATTTTCCTATTTCCCAATACTGAAATGAAAACCAAAATCTGGAATGAGTAATAAAACAGTAAGGTCAATCCAGTTGTCTTGTTCAATCTCAGTAAAATAATGCATTTAGTCCTTCCTTTTGTAAAACAAATTTTTATAGAATGAAGCAGTGACTTCTCTTCTAAACAGTAATTTTGAAATCAGAATGTTTCCTTTAGAAAATGTGGGAATGGAGCATTTTGGTATTCTAGAAATACATGATTCCATTTTTTCATCAAATGGTATTTGATGAAGCATGTTAGTTTAGGCAAGATCAACATTTCTCAGTGCCAGTTTGTTGGTAACATGTCTCTGGAGAGATTCGTGGCTGGCAGTGAGTGTAAAAGCACAGGAATAACTTTAAACCATTTCCCATGGGCTTGAAGGGCCTTTTGCCTTCCCCAGGTTGTACTAAGTGATGATTATTCAGAAGATCTTTTAAAGTTCACTTTTCTAGAGAAGTACTGAGAAAATGAATAGAATAAAAAAAAAAAAAAACAACAGCTTATATTTCCCAGTCCAGTTCAATGTTTGAAATTGCAGCAGTGACATCAGTGAACTTGGTGACCAACTTGTTAGAACTGTGTATTAGTTTCTTTAATTTGGTGACTCATCCTTCTCCCTCTGAAGTGCTGTGTCTCACTTGGGTCAGTCCTCAGTGTATTACGTCTCACATTCAAAAACCTAAGTTATGCCTCTGGCCTATGTTTATATGGCAGATGCCTATTCTTACTAATGCCATTTTCTCACAAATGAGAAAGATGTGGCTTTATGATCAGATTTGTGCTGAAGTGCCTGATTGGATGTTGACTTTCACTTTTGCTCTCTATTATAACAATTGGTGATATTCTGTGTGTGTGACGAAATCTTTTCTATTAGGCTATTTTTTGAAATGTTTTAGATATACTGTAGAATTCCAAAAGCTTGTTTCTTGTTAGCTATAAGCTTCTTTTGACTGTATATATCTTCTTCTGAATAGAGATGCTTCGTATTTTAAAGGTTTCTTTTGTGGTTATGCATGCTTTTTTCCAAGAGGTAATTAACAAAACATCTGATGTTACATTCATATTTCACTGTTACATTTGTGCAAGGCTAACTTGGGGACATTTGTACATACATCCTTTCACAGGAAATGGAAGTAACATGTTAGCTGAAAGACCTGATCTTGGAAATGACTGTAAGTCCCATATTTTTTTAAAAATCTGTTGAAATGTATAACTTTGAAAAGCTACTTTTAGGCTTGGAATTCTGCTGCTGGAATTTAGAGAAGTTTCATTTGTAGCTGGCCATTATAGAGAATTAGCACTTAGGAATCTCTTAAATACCTGTGATTCGCTATAATTTTCTTGTCATTGCAATTTATTCTTACATCTTCATTAGACTTTTACAGATATTCTGACTGCCCTCTCTAGAGAGTTCTTAGACTTGGCTTCAGATGCAATAAAATGACAAGTGACATTTTCCTTGACAGGGGCTGAAATCTGGTGAGGTGCTCAATACTGCCAACTATTATACAGCAAAACGCTTAAGCATATGAGTATGGTATTTATGTGCAGGAAATGCATGATACAGTGTAAAAGAGGCGTTTGGAGTTTGGCCCCATTGACCTAATGGATTAAAAACATCGGCTGCTGAAAGGGGCCATCTCTGCCTTAGGATCCTGACACTGCTTGCATCACCGGAGATGAAATTAAATTCTTTGACACAGGACATTCAGCTTGATTTCAGGCTCTCCTTTTAGTGACCGTGCACTGCTGTCAGAGCCAGTCTGGGCTGAAATACTGATTCTTTCCCATGAAGATGAGTATCTGCTGAGTACATATGTTACAATGGCATGCTCTGACATTCATTTAATATGAGCAGGGTTGTGCCTTGTCTTTTCTGTTTATGTGGACGCTTTGTTTTAAGATTTGTTTTTTTAATAAATGTTTGATTAAAGATTAAGCAATATTTGGATGGTTAAACATCTATACACCGGCACACACTGAAAGCAGGTTACTACCCAGGGCCATATGAGGAATAGAACACAGGTTCTGCTTGTTGCCTGAGTAAATCTCTATGGGATCATCTGGGAAAAATCATTCTCCTTCTGATCTTTTACATGGTTACACACCTCAGAAAAGAGCCTCTGTGGCATTACTATGACACATACCATAATGAGATGCTGTGTCATAGGGAAATGTTCTTCTGTGCTAGTTCTTTGAAAGGAACGTGCTCAATTTCCCTCTGTCACTTTAGCGTATGTGTGGATATTTGCATGCTGAAACTTAAGTAGGTACTGCCACACAAATGTTTTATAATCAGAGCACAGGTCAGCCTATAATCATCAAATTTATCTCCAAAGTAGGGAACTGTTGCTGTAGAACAAGGGAACAGAAACACAAAACCAGTGCTCACAGTGCAATGTGAAGAGCATGCTTGGGCCTCCTGAACCAGGTCCTCCTTATGCTGTCTGCACCACATTGGAAGACTTAAAATATCAACTGTAGGCAGCAGCTGGAGTCTGTCTATCTGCTGATGACTCACGTACTCCCTCCCCATGGGGGCCTTCCCCAAACCATTGGCAGTGTGAGCCTAGGTCCTCTTGGGGGGTTTAAACCTGTTCAGCCCCTTCTGTTTGAGGGTCCTCCACAATTCAAACTGAAGTGGGCTGGTTTAGGGGTCTGAGATGTTGCAGGTCCTATGGACCTGCACTGTTCCAATGCTGTAAATGTACCCAGAAGAAATACAGCTTTTCAGGATGCAGGTCACTGCAGTGAAAGCAGAAGTTGTACTGCTGGGTTAGCATACTGGTTCTCGCCTCTCAACTACCTGCAGGGTTAATCTGCCTTGGGAAAGAGCCACACCGTCGTGGCTATGCTCTTCATCTCACCGTAACTGACCATCTTAGGGAACACCTGCATGGTACAGAGGTGCTGGCCTAAGATATCACAGGAAGCCTGTGGGAAATGGGGGAACTTAATCCAGCCTGGTTACAGACATAATTGCTCTGGCAACCAGTTACTTTCCTCATCTGCCCTGGTAATCAGTACATTAGCTACAGTTTGAGGTTGTTTTTTTTCCCCAGAAACTAGTTTTTCAGTTACTAGTGTTTAGATATCTAACTGAATTGCATGCTGCCCTGAAACATACTTTCTATATGCGTAAGTATGCGTAGAGTATATATATATCTGTTCATACATAAGATGATGAGCTAATTCTAAAATATGAATTTTTGTAGAGTTTTTATTCCATATTCCCCTTCCTCAGACTATAAACTTCCTTTGGGTTCAGGATGTAAGATATTTGAAAGATTCCAACGCAGTATCCTGCTGACGCTGTTTTTAGTTGCTCCTATTGTCACAGTTTGCTTAGGATAAAAGTGCATATATATTTTTGTTTAGCTGAGCATGTTTTGATTCATATTTCATGATGTTCCTATATGTAGAGTATTACAGAATTCTAAGTTCTTGGAAGTTCAAGGCAGCGTTTTATGAAGAAATTATAATATTCATTAGACTTAGGTAGTTTTTCTGCATGCTGGATTAGAAATAAGTTTTGTTGCATTACAAATTATTTCTCTCATCAAAGACATTTTTCAATTTAATGGTTACTTGCATAAGCATGGCTTCTAGTACATTACAGTTAATGTTGGCACATTTGTATCCTACTTGGACTGCCACCAAAATAGCCTTCAATGTCTGCCCAACAGAAAATGTTACAATATTAGGTGCCCAGAATATTTGTCCTTGTAAATCAAACAAGGATTTTATGTCCCCTGCAATGGCAGAATGAAGGTAATCAACCAAAGACTTTTTACTGAGTGCTAATTTAACCCTGTAGCAAATCCTGTAATGGCAAGCAAAGGTGTAGATGTCATGGTATTAACTGCAATTTTATTATGCTCTTACCTAAGATTTCTGAAATAATCAAGAAGAAAATATGATTCTTAATATTTTTAGGGATTGATACAACAATCAGTTCCATACAGATTTTGGAAACTCAGCAAAGCATTGACAATCTCTATTGTAGTAAAAATCTACAGTGCGGGTAGGTAAATTGTTTTATTATGCTTTATTATGGTGGAATAGAATACCATTAATGTGATATGGCTACTTGGCTGACTCCTTCTCACAGTTGTTTCCTCTGGTGTGCAGGAGTTTGGTCTACCTACTCATCTTTTCTTTTTAAATTTAAATGCAATTTCCATGTTCGTGCAAAGATACTATCTGTCTCAAAATCCTATGTGCATTAATGCCACTTCTTTTCAGGGCTGGAAATTACAGCTGTATTATTCCTGTTAACAAATACACACCCATAGATGTAGAAATCTCACTGGAAATAAAGTAAGTACAATTAAAGATAATACATATATCAAAAGATAGTAATTCATTTTTTTGATAATAATTCTTGATTTCTATTGTGACACTAAGTTTGCCCTATTCAGAGGAGTGGGAAAGATCTATGCACAACGAAGTCCTTAATGTAAACCTTTGGGTAGATTCTTTGCTGTAGCATGGGCTCAGTACCACTGTCAGCACAATGACAATTTCACCTGTTGATGCAGATATTAAAATCCAGTAGTCTTAAAAGTTCAGTCTAATAATCATTTAAGCAGACATGTGTGCATATATTAGCAGGATTGTGGCCTTTGACCTAGGGATTTGACGTTTTTCGATGTAGAGAAATATTATTAGAAACATAAATAAATAACTCCAGAGAATGCCTTTTTTGGCCTGTTGTGCCAAGCCCTGTAAGAGGGGATTCGTGTGCAGGAATGTCTGGTAAGAGATAAAATTATGATTTACAGGAGGAATATGCAGCAGACATTCCTCTCAGCATGTATTTTCTCCCCAAGTGAAAGTCTAGATCCATGATGTTCTCCAGGAAGTATCAAATCCTTTCTTTTGGGGTTCTTCTCTGATGAAGACTGCTTGATGACACTCTGCTTGATGACACTTCATGACTCCAGTCTCTCCAAGGGCTCTGTGAAGTTATGGATGGTCTTTAGGTCCAATCTTTTGATCTTGAATGTCATCCTTGTAAACATTTGCCTTTTTCAGATCAGAGAAAATGTAACAGTACTCCTGAAGTGCCTGCTTATTTTCTACAGCAACTGAAAATATGTCTTTTAGGTGTATGCCATTATAATCTAATAATACAACCCTCTCATGTAGGGATTAATACATCATGCTCAGAGTTTCACTGAAGTAATTTATTTTGGATATTGGTTTGTGATTTGGAGGGAGGGTGATTTTCTATATATACCTTTTCTATATACTTTCAAAGAAAGACACAAAATTAACAAAAATCAAAACACTTAATAAAACGCAAACATATTTGGATTACTGCTGTGGCCAAATGCTGTAAGATGCTGTAAATACTTCAAAAATTTGGGAAACCTTTATGCCTGCTAAGTAAAATCACATGAAACCAGTACACATTACTGACAGCTCGTCTAGGACAGAGAATCTGCCATATATAAATTATATGCTTTAAATGTTTCTTAGAATACCTTGTTAATGTTGTGAAAGTATGTTTTGTTGTGCTTTGAGGAGTGTTTCATTGTTCTGCACAGCATAAACTGTAAATATTGATGTCACCTTTTCCCCACCTTCTGCTTTAATTTTTCTGCAAGCCGTTGCCATATCTGAGTTCCTCTGGATCTCCAAGGCATTTTTGTTTGCTTATACTCTTCTCAGAAAAGCCATCTGGTAAGCTGGGAAGTGCTAGAAACTCTCTCTAGGGATAGTTTGGAGAAGAAATGACCACAGGGTCTTTGCTATTGAGGAATTCTGAATGAAAATCTGTTTACCACAGCTTTCCCAAACTCTGGGATATTTTTACTTCTGTTTAATGGTATATTTACATGTGTACAGTGACAAATGAGAGTTATTTATATAGATCCGTTTTGAGGCTTATTATGGCTTTCTCTTCCATAAAATCGATGTTGTGTTTAGATGCCCAGGAGCCCTCTGGTTGGGGTATATTATGCCTATGCATGGTGTAAGCCATGCAACTTAAGCATGCCATGTCCACTGATTTGTATAAAAAGTCACGTACAACAGCTTCCGGTATGAATATGCCTGAGGTTTGAGGAAGTTCAGTATATGTTTCTGGATTTATTGTAACAGCTGTAAAGATCACCCAGGTTTCCAAATGCAAAATGCTCTCCATTGTGGGAGGGAATGGGACCAGGTTAGAGGTGGATGACTTAGGTTTATATCCTTCACATCAAGCAATGAAGTAAGCTCCTCTGCTTTATTTCTCCACAATTCAATTATTTGGCTTTTCCACCCGGTATATATATTATTTTTATATATATGATTCTTCTATTTAAGAGAAATGGGATAGATCCTTATTTTTCTCTTTTTCTTGAAGCACCACAGAAGCATTAATTGTATTTCTCTGCAAAGTCACATTTGGAAATTATTGCTCCCGTTATTCTTCAAGCCAAAACAGTAGGAAGGATTTCCTAAAAACCACACAGGTAAGATTTTTACCGCAAAACTCTGGCTTGTGGGGATCATTTTGATAACATTAATGGCTGCAAAATTCTGAACTTGATTAAGGAAGTAGAAATCTAAATGGTACTTTGAGTCTGACAGTCATAACTGACTTTGGCATGACCATGATGAGATGCAACCTTTAGGCAGGAGTCAGTTTTCTGCTGATTTTTCTAAAAATCTGTCTAGTGACTCTCTACAAGGACAGTTTTGAGTCTACTTCAGCCTAACTCACCACTATAACTCATTATATCTCCAGAGATAGTTAAGAAATGGGAGTACTTTTCAACCGGGGCCTTAGGAGACAGAGTCCTCCAAACTCTCATCTACTCTATTGTTTCCATTATTGTTGGTTATGAATTACAGTTTTTAAGTCTTGAATTGCTGAGAACAATGGTAGTATTCCCCTTTATTTCTGTGTGAACAGTTTACCAATAAATCTCTCTAGGTAAAATTCTTAATTGTAAAAGCAAGAGTTATTTACATGTTGTTCTCTGGATTGCCTCAATGGGAATAAAAGCTATTAAAACATGTCTTTTCCCAGTAAAAAATATTTAGAGATCGGATCTTGCAAACTTTTGATAATCTTCAGTAAAATGATGAATGCCTTAAACTCCCTTCAAATTCTCTGGAAATACAAGACTCTTTCAAGACCTCAATTTGTCCACATTGCTTGGAAATGTTTATTTTGGCTAAAACAGTAGGAAAGGCAGCAGCAAGGATCGTAGCATTTCTGAACGCACTGTAGGAGAAACCTCCCCGAAGTCATTTCAGAGTTGTCTTTAGATTTCTGATCTATGGTACTATACATGGTATGTTCTTAATTGATTTTATATTTTTTTTTGATGCTTTGTCAAATTAGAGCCATTGGGATACTCCCGCTCTTACGCTGACTTTCTGATCAACTTTTCAAATGTCTTTGTAAAAAGTTACAGGCTTCTCAGAAAGCCACAATTGTCCAAGTTTTGACCTGCCTGCCATAATTCCAACAGAACTGAAACTAAGTCAGACCCAGAGAGTTTTGCAGAGCATAAATATCCTTGAAGCTTACTGCCAAAACTGGTTAAAGAGATTTTCCTTGTCAACCTGAAATCCACATCAAAAGACTAAAGCTAACTATCCTCCAGCAGCAGTAGGCATTCAGGTCTGATGTAACTCAGAATAGAAATGCTGCCTGGTTGGAGAAGTTTTTTTAAGAGGATTTTCCTAGGGACTGGAAGGCTTATTCCCTACCAAAGGGCAGGACAGCAATCATTTGGGCTCAGCTGTCTTGCCTAACTTTTGTCATGTGAACATACCATCTCCAACAGAGACAATGTGTCAGAAAGTGAAGGGAGGAGGGAAAGATGAAGGAGTTGAGACACTAGAAACGGATGAAGGAAAAGTTACCGTGGATCATTAGATTAAAAAGAGGTGAGGATTGAATTTTATTTTATTCAACGTAACATAACTATTTCAGATACAAAATACATTATTTCATTTGTACCTGGCAGGACATTGCAATCAAAAACGGAATGAAATCTTGCCTGTGTCTGTTTCTGAAATATTGAGTGAAGATGCTACTCATATCTTTAGAATATATAGAGGAACTTTCACTGTCTTCTGAGAACTACTAAAGTTGCTGTTTCAAAATCAGCAGAATTGCCATTTGCTACTATTACACCTTAAAGCTCTTGGGCCACTTGGCACTTCAGGAACAATCCCTATTTGTTGCGGGATTTGCTTGGAAAACTAGAGAGGGAATTCAGTTATTCAGAGCCAGTTGAGTGTCCCTGAGAGCCAGATGTCTGTCAGTTCCTAGGAAGAGCTGATCAGAGCAAACCCACATTTGCAGGGTTTAAAGTCAGCACTTTGTCTTTAAATGCTGTGACCATAGCTATCAAGTCTTGTTATCATAATTACTTTGCAGTGCATTTGTCAACGAAATGTTTCCTGATCCTAACCTTCTCTCCAATTTAGTGTGAAATAAGATTGTCTAATCTCTCTCTCTTATTTATCATCTAGGGACATCAGCATATTTGGATTCTGCCTGTAGCTAGATTGTATGACAGCGCATACTATTTCCGTGTAGCTGCACCGGTAAGCCTTTCCAAATGGCAACGTCACAAAAGACAAATAACATGTGAACTGAGGGAAGATCTTATATGAATCTTCTTTTTTTTTTTTTTTTTTCTGCAGGGTTTGGCAGAATGCTCAACAGATCCTTATTTTGCTGGCATGTTTTTTACCGATTACTACTTCTATTTTTATCGGCAGTGTAACTAAAAGGTTGCTGATCATTCTGTCCTTTGGGGAAAAGACCATGAAGCTCTTGACAGGAAAAAGAGACTTGTGAATGGCCCTGGATATTTTTTTAAACCTCTTGCTGAGTTGTATGAGACTTTCTATTTTGTGTTACTTTTAATTAAAAAAAAAAAGAAAGGAGAAAAATAAAGTATTTGACAACAGCCATAGCTCTGCATTTCCAGTAACTGTTCTGACATGAGGTGATGTAGTGTATGATGTGTAAATAAGTAATCCCATTGGTCATAGTGAAGTTCTATGATATTGTACATATAGCAGACAAGAACAAATGAGTAGAAGCATTGCTGATATGGGACCTCAGAAGATGATAACATAATAAAATGTTATTTGCAGTCAGGAGACCTGCTTCCATTCTACAGGCATATACCTTCTTTTAGTATCCGTTGCCCTTTATTTATATATGTATATATATATATTTTCCTCTAACAAAACCAAACAAAACTGAGAGAGAGAAATGTAGCACTGTGCAAACGCCCTCTGAAATACGTGCTGTGAGTTAGAGAACAACAGATCAGTTCTATGGTGTGTATAAGTATTTCCATTTCAGAACAGTACCATCGTTACCATTACAATTATGTAATTTAATGACACTGCTGCTGTTTGAATGAGATATATAGGTTTCAGCTACCTTTTTTTAAAAAACTGTACTGCAGAAATGAATTATTTACTCCTAAATTCAGGTGGGTTTTTTTTCTTGGTCTTTGTGATTTGTGCCAGGGTGATGAAAGAACAGAAATCTTTGAAAAGAATAATGTCTTGCCTGCACGATTTTCTAAGATGGATGTGGATACACACTTGCATGGGAGAAATCTTTCTGTTTATATTTAGGAAATATATTTTTAAGGTAAAATTTGAATGAAATTTCACATTAGTTGCTCAGACAGAAGGAAAACAGATGTAATAACCAAGTGCAGTGTAAATAGTGTTGTGGGGTTTGTCTAGAACAATCATTCATTTTGTGTAGAAAAGAGAAAGTAAATATAATGGAGAGACTGTAGAGTTTTAAAGATTTACAATGTAAAAGTTACATGTGTACAACCTTACTCTGAATGAAATTCTTTATTTAGCAGTGAAAGGGAAACATTAAGAAGAAAAATTAATCTCTCAAAAAGAGCTGACCATAGTCTTTATAAACAACAGTGTGTCTTAATTGTATATTTATTGCCTCACGTTGCCATGGGAGAATTTAATTTGTTTCTGTGCCTTCATTTGGCATTTCTTTTGTCACTATTTTGGTATTTCCTTTAAGGATGACATTCTCACTGATTTTTTTTTAGATGTATGTGCTTCAGTTGGGGTTAACTGCAATGTCCGTGAGTATTTTTGCCTTAAATGACTCGCGACTTTGACCTTAAACATATAAGGGTTTGGTGGGTTTTTTTTGTTTTGGTTTGTGGGTTTTTTTTTTCCTTTTGAGTATTTATGGTATAGACCACATATTCTTTAATATCCCAGAGACTAACTGGGTTCTGGGTCCAAATGCATCAGACATTTGTTTCTTTTAGTTTTTTTATGGACCATACTTGAGGGTAATTCCCAAGAAGTGTCACAGATGATAATACATGCACATTTTGAACAGAAATTTAACATTTCTAGACCCACCAAGTTTTCATCACACCGTTCTGAGTTGAAATACTCTTCTCAGTGGCAGAGAGCAGTGCAGTAGGAGAATATAAGCTCCTGGTGTTTCCTGTCATCAAAAAACTTCCTGTGATTAGAGTATGGAGTGAGATGCATGTGGGATAGTGTCTGGTTTTTTGTGTGAAAAAGCTTACCATTTGTTTGCCCATTTAAGAATTTTCAACTATTTCTTTACTCCTGTCATATGCTTTTAGTAAGGTACTCTTGAAGATTTTATTCAGATTTAATATGACAAGTTGCTGTATGAAGGCTGTGTTCTAACATGTCTGAGATAATAAAAATCCACCTTGGCAAAAGCTTTGGAGGAACTGGCAGAAATGAAATATTTGGCATTGAAAAAGCTGTCATAAATAGTCTTCAGGCTCCTGAGAAAATCTGTGATTGACAGTGAGCTGAAAAACTTTTTTAAATGGGATGACCTATTAACAGTAGTGTTTAGAGCATTTTAAATGGGGATCAGATGACTTCTGTCCCTTTGTGACGCTAATTATATTGTATTGGGGTTACCACTGAATGAGTTCGTGGATTGGGGACCAGGAGAAAATAATAGAAGTGTAACAGAACCCTGAGCATCCCTGAATGTGCCCTGATTTTCCATCCAGAAGTTTAGTCTAGTTAAAAAAGAACAACTTTGCTATTTGCCTGGGATTTCACATACACCAGGTTCAAAAGTGCAAGAGCAGATACCCAGTGTATGTGATTCAGCCTATACTTGCGTTATGGCTCTTTCATCTGAGAGTCAGCTGGGTGCTTGGTCACCTGGAAATCCCAGAAAATGTGTTAATTCTCCTTCGCCCTGGATAAGGTTTTCAGAACACATTGAATTGCCAGACGTGCTGGCTGGCTGTACAGTGCGTGTACAGCGGGAGCAGCCAGCCCAAGGAGTGTCAGTCTGGGCTGGTTTTGCCTGGGATAGAGTTAATTTTCTTCATTGTAGCTTGTGGGGCACTATGTTTTGGATTTGTGCTGAAAAAAATGTTGGTAACACAGGGATGTTTTAGTTACGGCTGAATGGTTCTTACACAGGGTTTATCTGCTTCTCACACCCCCTCCCCGTCAGTCAGTCGGCTGGGGATGCGCAAGAAGTTGGGAGGGGGCACAGCCGGACAGGTGACCCCAGGTGACCAAAGGGATATTCCATACCATATGACATTGTGCTTAGCAGTAAAAGCCGGGGGAAAAAGGAAGAAAGAGGGGGGGTCATTTGGAGTGATGGCGTTTGTCTTTCCAAGTAACAGTTAATACGTGATGCAGCCCTGCTTTCCTGGAGATGGCTCAACACCTGCCTGCCCATGGGAAGTTGCAAATTAATTCCTTATTTTGCTTTGCTTGCACATGCAGGTTTTTCTTTAAAATGTCCTTAACCCAACCCACTAGTTTTCTCACTTTTGATTCTCTCCCCCGTCCCACTGGGGGAGTGTGAGAGAGTGGCTGGGTGGTGTTTAGCTGCCTACTGGGGTTAAACCATGGCACAGGCCCATCAGATGCACAGTGGGTGATGTACGTGCCAAGATTTTGATTCATTTTGGTGTGAAGCTTTAGGAATGATTCTCACTCCCATATCTGTTGAGTCTTCACTTTCCTGTGTTTGGAGACATAGAACTTATCTTGACATCACTGGACTGGTGACATTCTCTACCTTGTGCAGTTCTTCTCCCTTGTACAAAATTGAACTAGGACTACCTTAGAAGAATACCATGTGGAAAACATGGCTGGCAGCATTTTCCATCCTGAACAACTAAAGGAAGCATGGATTAATTTTTCCAAATGAAAAACTTGGTTCTAAAAAGTTCAAGTGTCTCAGTCGTTTTTTTGCTGTTTCTGTGTGCTCAGTGATATAGTTGCAACCATTTTTAATAGTTGTCATTACAATATAATTCAAAACAATTTTTGTGATACTGAATAACGAATTATTGATGGTTTATGTACATTCTACCTGGAACAGGAAATTCCCTTTCCCTTAGCTGTTTTTAACACAATGCAGATGAATCGTAGAGACCTCCAGTCATCACTGGAATATCTTCCCCTAACTTGAGAGGGAGCTGAGGCAAAGCAAATGTCCGGCCTGGGTGATACAGCTGTAGATTGCCAAAGGCAAAGGTAGAGCTACATTAGGGTGATCTGGTACCATCCAATCTGGGTTTCAACCCATGTTGTTCATACCAAGAACATGATATGGCAATTCACATTTTTACTTGACTGTAACACAAAATTACCTAGCCTTGCTTCCAATAAGTTTGATCTAGCTGTGGCAGGAGCATTTTAAGTGAGGACCTCAGATGACTTGAAAGCCCGGCACATTAAGCGAAGAGGGAAAATCCTGTGTGGTCACCCCACAGAAAGCAAGTACAAGGCAGAATAGCAGAACGAGTTGTTCTGGGGTGTGAATTTGCAGCTGGAATAGCCGATGGCCTTCAGGCATGACCCCAGCTGAAGCTGTAGACAGCTGTGAGCAAAGGGGCGTTTTGTCTCCCGGCTGCAGCTCCTTCAGATAACACTTTAGTTCAGAAGGGGCCTGGTAAGTAGTGAGGAGACTGTTTGTGTTGACCTAGTGAGATGATGTGAGCTTGCCATGAGAAGCTAGCAATCCCAAAGCTGAATCTGGAGTCCTGCACAGCCTGGGTCTGAAGGAAGACCTGGAGGTGAGCTTTTCATCATCTCCTGCTTATCTCCATTTTTCTAGGATCATAGCCCGCTGTCTAGGATCAGAAAAATACTTACAGTAAGAATTGGTAGCGAGTTAAATTCTGCCCACAGTGTGAGAAGTTGCTCCAAAGGAGTCATTCACTTCTTAAATTACAAATCCACTGCATAGAACCTGAGACAATCTAGCTACAAAATGAAAACCTGATTTACGTCAGGTTTACTCTTTCTGTTGATCTGAGTGCTAGAGTATGTTGAAAGTAAATCGGTTCATTGTAGATATGGAAACTAGTTTCAAGATACACAGAAAATTCATAATAATTTATGAACTAGTTGCAGTGCTGTAAGACTTTTGTATGATATTTTTCTTTATATGAAGACATGGCTTTTATATATGACATCAGACTATACTTAAAAGCATTGATCACAACTGATGGAAACTCGTTATAGGAATCATTTACTGATCCTACCTTCATCTTGGAATAATTCTACTTAATGTCCCAGCTAAACTGTGCTACAGAGAAACAGTTTCCGGCAGATTTGTGTCCTGTATCGCTGACGGTCTGCCACTGCAAAAATCCCATCTGCTCCACTGGCTCTGTGGATTGCTCTGCCACATGGTGTTTGCTTCCTCCCACATTCCCTACCTGTTGGATAAGGCAGAAGACTGGAACAGC